CTTCATCAGATCTTGATACTAAGGTTGGTAATTTTCTCCTAACAGATTCGAAATCATTTTTTTAAGTCAATTTCAGATGATATTATGATGAACACTTTGTTAATTTATGTTATTTGTAGATATGCCACTTTGTTAATGTCTTATTGATTCATTGATACTAATGCTCATTAATGCCACTTTTTTCTATTTTATATTTTTCACTACAATGATGAAACCATTTCATTTGTTCTGAGTACTATTTATTAAAGTGATCATAGTCATACAAAGAGAGCATCTCAAATATTTTGTATGCATACAATTTATATAACTCTTTGGTACATGATAATTACTGCTTCAAATATCATAGCTATGGTTAATCAAGTGTGACTCTGACACTATTGCACTTCTCACCTATACACTATGCTCTTTTTTTTGGTCATTGATAATTTCCTATGTTGGGAAATAAATCTCACATTGCCTACCTCATTGTCTCGGAAATGGTTTAAATACCTGTTGGGATACTCCTCTCATTGTCAATTGATTTTAAGATGAAACCTTAACATCATATTCACCTTGTCTTAAATTTGAGACACTTTGCTATTTCTTAATGGTTAGAACCATGGCTTTTTGACTATGTACTTTGTACTCATTTCTAGCAAGAAGAAGTTCATGATTTTAACTTTTGAATGAGTCCAAACTAGAACTGAATAGGAAAAGGAAACTACATCTTATGAATATGACCATAAAGCTTCAATCTCTTTAAGTGTCTCTCTCTTTTGGATCCTAAGCTTCTTTGTTGTCAATAATTGTTTGATTCCATTGGGGTCCAGATCATGGCCTAGCACATCATGGTCTGACAGAACATGACATTGATTTTACTTTAATTCCCATGTTGTTGGTATTACTGTTTTTTCATTTTGATAAAATTCAAATCATGCATCATTGAAAGTCTCAATCTTAATTAAAAGTTTCTAAAAAAACATTGTTAATTTGCATGTTAGATTTATTCAAGTGTGAAGTCTCATATTAGATATGAGGGAAAAAGTAAAAGAGTTTATAAGTAGAAAAAAACTCATGGAATTAATGCCTTAAGGTTTTGGTTCAAGACATGTTGTCTCACGTGTAAATCTCTACTCTTCGCATACCCGTTCATAATGAAACTTCTTGGTGGTTAGAGACTTTTCGGTCATAGTCTAGCACCAACAGTGCAGAAAATAGCTCTTCAATTGTGTGAGAAAGAAGCAATCATATTCTAAAACAAATCAAATACATAAGATTATATGAAAAACATTTTCCACATATGTTGAGAAGTAAAGTCTCATATTGCCTACCTCATTGTCACGAGAATGATTTAAATATCTGTTGGGTTACTTCTCTCATTGTCAATTGGTTTTGAGATGAAATTTTAACACGACATCAGAGGCAGAACCCAACTTCTTTCCGGTTGTCATGGGCCAAAAAATGTCATTTAATTAAGTAAAGTTCCACATCACCTACATCATTGTCTCCTATTGGTTTTGAGATGAAATTGTAAGTACTCTCGGAGAAGGATCTTTCATAAGTGCAAAAATGGTAATCTTTAACCCAACATTCAAAGGTTTTCATTATCTTAAGGATACATATGTATCTTTGATTGAAATTTTGTTATATATCATGCTTCTTTGGTTATAGCAGTATTCATGAGCTATTTGTTCTAACTTCGAACTCACTTTACATGACTTGGTTTAGTCCACTGGATCATTCTTCCATGACAAAAACATTACACTTGGCACCCTCATTGGAATTTCTAGCTTCTTAGAACTCTCAAGGAAATCAACTAGAGGAATAATAGTGGAACCTTCAAAGGATAATAGAAAGAATCAGAAGCTGAAGCCTTGGTTGTTTTCACTATGTTCAAGGCTAAGTACTGATGCAGTGAGAGTTAATGATGCTCCCTCTCTTGGTTACTACCTTGAAGCTGAGAGAAGAAATGCAAGTACTTATAAAAGGAATCCATGTCCTACTTATGGACATAATGGTTTCTCTTCTATTCAAGAATCAAGTTCAATGATCTCTGTGGATAAGTGAATAAGTGATTACAAGAGTTCTTATAATTTTCACTCATGTTGCTAATTAAATTTCTAAGGCATTGGAATATTATACCATTCACTCTTCAAATATGGTTTAGTACTTTCTTCTGTGATAGTTTCTTTTTTATAACTAGTAAGTTACTCGTGCATTCGCACGAGGCAATACTTTTTTGTGGTATGATTAAGAACACGAAAATTATATGAGTATTCATATAGTTAAGAATACATATGTTACTCGTACATTCGCATGGTTAAAAAAATACATGTTCCTCATGCATTTGTATTTTTAAGAACACATGTGAACATTCTCAATGCTATGAATACATGTTACATGTGCATTCGCTTAGTTAAAACACACATGTTAACCGTACATTCACATTGTTAAGAACACAAGTGTTACCCGTGTATTTGCCTATTCAAACACATGATGAAAAGAAATGATACTTTCAAATTTGAATATTCTAACAAAAATAAGAAATCGAATTTGAGGTAAAACTTCAATTTCGAATTTGATTTTTTTTAATTATAGTAGGGAATAATTAAAATCCAAGAAATATGATATTAAAATTCAATTGGTAAAGTATCACAAAGTTTTGATGAGATGAAAAGTAGATAGATTAGTGCAAATATTGAATGAGGTAAAATTGTATAGTTTTTTCAATTTAAATAAAGTATTAGTAAACATATGGTTTTTTCAATTTAAATAAAGTATTAGTAAACTTATAGTATTAGTAAACGTTAAATAAAATAGATAGATTAATGCAAATATTAAATGATGTAAAATTGTATGATTTTTTTCAATTTAATTAGTTGGATGATAAAATATTATTAGTGATTTAGAATTGGTTAGGTGTATATACTTGAATATAATTAGTAAAGGTGGGAAGGTTGCAGAAACAAATTTGTTTAGTCTTATTGAGTTATTGACGAATCAACTACTCAAATTAGATGGTATATTGGTTAATAGAGTATATGTTAAATGGGAGAGATCCATGGACCATATTTATACATTTAAGTGAGAAAAAATGGAAAACATGAATATCAAATACATTTGTTACTTCTAATTTTCAATTCTAATGATAAAAAGTTTTTCCAACTTCTTTTTCTTCTACAAAAATTATTTATGAACATTTGTGTCCATGAAAAAAATAGGTGAAAAATAAGAGGAATAATGAATTGAATCATCAATAGGAGTAGATTGTATTTTTAATTAGCATTTAAATTATTAAAATATAAAATGTATAAAAAGTGAAGATGTAGTGTGGTAATGTACATAATAATAGCATAGAACACTTTTGGAGGGAAAAAAAGTGATGAGGAGATGACATGTGGCTAAGAGGACATTCTTTTCTTATATAGTAATAGATTAAGGGTATCCCTTTATTCTATGGATAAAGAACTATCTCTTTTGAGTTGTGTGATTGTCCTTCTCTCGTTCCCTAAGATTAAACTGTAGGTTAGTAAAATAAGTGGAGATCCAATTGATGAGGCCTTAAATATAGGTGCTAGCCTATAGGAAATAAATATGAAGCTTTACATAAGTTAGTGCACTTACCTACCATCGAGTTAGGATACTCTTCATTAATACAGAGTCAAATGCTTCAAAAATCAAAGGAAAATGTAATTTTCAATGACACATATATCTCTTTGATTACAATGAAATTACACTTTTGTCATTTAAAAAGAAAACATGCATTTGTCTCTGTGAGAAGATCCTAGTTCCTAACCATTCCTCTACTAGAGTTATTACATGCAATTCAAGTGATTTATTTGCATGTTTCTATAATTCTTTTCCAATTCTTGGTGTTGAATAATGATGATAAGCATGTCATATCCCTTTTCCTTTGGAAAATGAAATTTGTATATTGCTCACTAAGATACAGACCATGTTTCAATGCAAGTATATGGTTGAATAATGTCATATGTAAAATATAAAGTTGAAATAAATACACTCTATACATATGTAAATGGGGTGTTCTCAAATAACATATATTTCTAGGAGTAAGGTGAAGATTTCATTAATGAAAGAGAACTATACACAAAATAGAGTACATTCCCTTTAAATTACTCAAATAATACTATTCTAACTCCTATGACTTGAGTGTGTCTTTTTTTTATTTTTACATTTAGATCCAACCATGTAATCTTGATAGTATGCACAATCATGAAAAAACAATTTCAATTGAGGTTTTTATTTATCTAAAGATAGCCTGCCCAATAAGATGGATTGATTCTCTCCATTTTCTAATTGAGGTTCTCCTAATTTTGCAAACTTTCTATTTTCTTGGTAATGGGAAATAATATTCCCTAGTTAAAATGTAGTAGGTAAAAGAAATCTTATATTGAAATAAATGAATAAGTTACGGAACATAAAATTAGATAAAGTGATATATATATTGACTTATATTTTTTTTCTTATCACACTTATTACAAATCTCAAGTAGCTTTGGGCTTCCTCAATTCTAAAAATTAGTATTAGATGTAAAGATTCACTTGCAAAGCAAGCTTTTCTTTACACTATAAAAACTCAAAAGGTTTATATTCAATGGGGAGTGGCTTTATATTAAATAACTTATATTTTATAAGGACATTATGAGGAATTAGAAGGGAGAAATCAGTTAACAACTAATATGATATCTTCTACTATTAAATCTATTTAAAATAAATTCTGTAGTAAAAATAAAAATTTTAATTAATTATTTTTTGTGAATTTGATAATGAAATTATTGCTCATGTCTTATCTTATTTTATATTTAGAATAGAGAAACTATTGGAGTCACTAGTATTGCATATGCTAATTATTTTTTCTTTTGCTATTAATTCTCAATCGACCAATTGAAATAATTTCTTTAACTTAATCATCTCCCAATTTTTAACTCTTACTTAGTCTTGATTTCCCTATTACACCTATATATACATGCGAGTAAAATGAACTCTTGTTGGACACAAAAATTAATTTTTTTCTATCGAACATACAACATAATTGAATTTAGAGGTCAATGATCTAAGTATCTTGCTGACCACCATACTTTGCTCCATGTTTTCACCATTTGATTTCATCTTGTTCACCAAGCTGAGGGTTCTTCCCAAAAAGTTGTCTACTTTCTCTCATTCTTTCATACCAAGCAGCTCAAACTCTCTTCTCAGAGCTTGAAGTTGTGCCCTCTTTACCTTTGTGGAACCTTTGATACTTCTGCCGCATTGACATCCAGATTGTCTTCGATGCCCCTTTGTCAATAATTGTCTCCAGAATTTCTCTATCAATAGCCTGGAATAAGAAATTCTTAACCTTCAAATCCATGAGCTTGGCTTCCTCCACACTTTTCCTCTGTGCTTCACTCGTTGGTGTGGTTCCAATTGCCGGCACAGGTATTCCATCGTCTATAAGACTCCACAACTCTTTACTTCTCATAAATTTTTCCATCATCATTGATCATAATGACCATCAAATTTTGGAATTGCTGGTTGCACAAACTTTCTGACATTTTGTTTGTAGACTCACACACTTTTCACTCACAAGCAGGCCCTTGTGGAGCTCAGATACCAAATGTAGAAAAAAGAATGAGATAATAGGTGAAAGTGGAAAGGGAAAATGCTACCTTTATTATGCTAAACATAAGGCATTTATAGCCTTTTACAGTGCAGAAGCAAAAACAGAAAAGCCACATTTCATGGCAAGTTACATGGAAATCAAAAGCAACTAACCCTGAAAATAGGGATTTATTAAGAATGTGAATAACAAATGAATAACTAAGTTTGACTATTAGGGAATGCTTCAAATTCAACACTTTGGTGGACTCCATCCTTAGCTAAAATATATCCTTTTAAGAATGCTGACAAGTCGAAAATAAAATCAGCTTGTTGTTGCAATCTAAACGAAGTAGGTGAGCTGTTCTTTCTTCCTTGAACCTCCTTCTCCATACAAATCATTCCACTGCTTCAGTTCACCCATTACTGCTCCTTCCGAGGCAAAACTTGCAGCGACCTGCATTTAAACAGACATCTATACATTTATGTACTCGAAAAATAGATATTCTATTCACAATACCAGACTTTCATTCTTCCATGTGTGTGACATTGAAAGACATAAAATCCTCGAAAGAACGCATCAATTGATCTTTTAATTGGAGAACAAAAATTAAACTAGTGACCAACAATGTCATTCTGATGCAACCATTCAGCTTCTAAAAATCTTAACACCATTCAACAAAATGCCAAATATCTATCATTATAACCTCAAATTTAAGTATCATTTTTAATTTGTAAGGCGTAGATGCCCAAATCAAATGCACATTGCTATTTAATTGGATGATTTTCGGTTCAACCTACCTGACTCTTAGCATGTCTCATGTCTTCCATATTTAATGGCCTAAGCATAATTTCTAGATCTTCTTTATCTTCTTCTTTGCTCGAAGAATCTTCAGAGTCTTGGCCTTGTGGTTCTTTCTTCTTCTTTTTCTGATATAAGAAGCAAGTGTTATAGTTAGATCTTCAGCACATACCAAAGTTCAACACTTGAAGAGATGTTACAATTAACAAAGTAAATGTTGTTTGATAACTTACCATGTCCTTCCTTCTCTCCTGCTCTATTAGCTCCCTAACGGGTCGATAAGCCGCAGTGATGCACAAATTCTGTTTAAAAAAAATAGTTTGATCATAACCCCAAAAAAGAACTAATGAATTAGAATCACTAACAATATCAACCTTAAGATCACTTCCACTAAATCCTTCTGTCATGGTTGCGAGTTCCTTGAAGTCTAAGTTTTCATGTTTTTCCTTAGCTAGAAGAGTTTTTAGGATCATTTCCCTGTTCTCAGCAGATGGAAGACCAACCATTATCCTGTTCAACATTAAAAGGATAAGATGTCATTCATAAATCACAAGAACATTAACATTTATTCGAAAAGCAAAAGTTGTCCAATGGTATTGCTAATAGATGATCCAACCAGTGTTCATGATTGATTAGTGAGTAGTTTTCTTGCACAGTTGAAAACAATACTTGATGTAATCATTCTCATGGAATATATCTAATTGATTCAATTACTGAACAATTCCAAAAGCTAAGAGAAAGAAACTTTTGCTGAAAAAGTTGAGACACAAGCTACAGAATGTTGTGTCTTCTGTGGGAGAGATGTTCTAGCTACATACAAAATAAGAATGGACGTCTCAAAAGGAAATATAAAGTCCATAAATGAAAGGATTGAATAATTGGGATGCCATGCTTCTTTTCCTTCAAAATAAAAATAATTGATGAAATATATTTTTATAATGAACTTTCTTGTTTTGTTATGATTACCTTACTGTTCATGATAAATGATATAGATAACACATTTCTTTGATCTAATGGAAAAATAATTGTAGCTGAACCTAAGCAACATGAGACCGTGTAATAATAAGACAAAGATGTGTTCATACCTGCGCTCAAATCGTCTTATAATTGCTTCATCAAGGTCAAATGGTCTGTTTGTAGCAGCAAGAACCAGAATTTGCTCACCAGGTCTTGTTAATAGCCCATCCCAGTGGGTCATGAATTCATTTTTAATCCTCCGCATGCACTCGTGCTCTCCAATAGTCCGCTGGCCAAGCATGCTGTCAACCTCATCGACAAAGATAATAGTTGGGGCAACCTTCGCTGCTAGTGTGAACAGGGCTCGAACATTCTTTTCAACTTCGCCAAACAATTTTGAAGTGATGGTGGACATTGAGACATTAATGAAACTTGCTCCAGCTTCATTTGCAATTGCCTTTGCTAGCATTGTTTTTCCAGTACCAGGTGGTCCAAAAAGCAATATGCCTCTGCATGGATTTAGAAGGCCACCTTTAAAGAGGTCTGGTCTTCTAAGGGGAAGCATGACCAACTCTTGAAGTGATTCTTTAATATCATCCAATGATCCAATATCTGCAAATGTAACCCCTATCTCGTTTGCGGGGATAACCTCTGCTCTTATGCGTTTCTCAAACTCATTGTCAGGAACTTCCTGAAAGCATGCAATTATATTTATTGTATAAAAATAAAACAACTGAATAAATTATCCATGCAAAAATTAAGTTATATCACACATTTCCTACTTGGTGTCTTGGACAGCCATGAACATGGACTATCATGGGGAAAAACTCGGTCTAAATTGGAGGAAACTAGAAATACAGAAACAAGTCAAATGTAAATAACAATGTACCAATTGTCCATATTGAAACCAGTAAAATTTGTCAGGTAACAGAAGTACGTGAAAGGATAATATTAATAATTTGTTCCCTTTATTACTAGACTAGATGGGGAGGATCTGACCAGAAGGTCTACCAGCAAAATAAGCATTGTAGCGTCTTGCAATATACATCTCATTTATCTGCTTTTGATGTTAGGTACTAAGAAATTGAGCTTACTGATTTTGCTGGAGCAGGATTCTCAGCATCTTTCTTCGTCACAGGGATAGACTTCTCCGTCTCATTTTTGTTTTCAGGTGCTTGGTTGTCACTCTGGAACAGATTCAATGCATAGGACAAACTGTACACATGCAATATCAGTAACTAGAAAACATTTTCTCTTGATCAATTGTTTAAACAGTCATTGGTCAAGATATTTACCTCTTGGCTGATATAATTAGCTTTCCATTACGGTATTCTGGATCCTTGGTATTCATCAAATGGTAAGATATTGCAGATACCACAATTTCTTGAATATAATTACTTAGTATCGTAGTGTCTGCATGGCATATTGAAGTCGGGACATCACAGTCAATGTCATTTGCTTCAAGTACTTTTGCGATGTGGTTTCTATTATCTCGAAATTGAAGTTGAAACGTGTCAAATTGGGCTTTATAACTGCCAAGATGAGCTTCATCTTCTGGGAGTTTGATCTCAATGTTGTAAGGGAATAACATGTTGAGCCTTTCATCAATTTCTTTGCAATCATCTTGTGAATCTACTATCTGGGAACCGAGTATTAACACGGAGCCTGAAAGTTTCTTTATCATTTTTTGTAATAAATTGTATAACCTTGGTGATTGGAGAATGAGTTTCTCAACATCCCTAATGTATAAAATGATGGAACCAATTTTTGAGATAGAAACTATAACCTGCAAAACTTAATCTTGTTAGAATAGGAACAGAGATATACCCTAAGACAATATCAAATCAATTAATTTTTATTTTGAACAAAAAATTCTATTTGAAAAGCTACTATGTCATGAAGATAGCCATGTAATACATAAATTCATTATACACATCTTAAACCTTGGCAGCAAAGGTTGTTCCTTGATACAATTCAAATCTGAGCTAAAAAAATAGGATTAGACAGATTAAATCACCTTGTAAAGTGACTGCACGAAGACCTTTTCGTCAAAACACAAGATGTTTGTGTGCTTTAAAGGAGCTGAAAAGATCATGAAAAGTAATGAACATAGGAGCATCGAAATTTCATGCATTAGCAAACAATAAATAGGGGAAGCCTAGATCTGAATTTAATGAAGTTGACATAATAAATTTTAGAGAAGAATAGTATTTTCTTCATGAAGTATATACTAAGATCAGAATATGAAGGTTAGGTGTTATAAGATTAGTTATTTTTGCTACTACTAAAATTTTTCTAATATCATCCTAGTGCTTTTCAACTTTATAGAAGAATTGAGAAACATATTGATTTACTATTTAAAGCATTATGTTGTACTACAAAACTAAGTTACATTTTAAAGACAATCTTTAAGAAGGATAATATTATAGGGAATATCATAATCTTACAAAACATGAGGGTTACTTCCTCTAGTACCTCTAGTTTCGCCGGTTGAAGGGAGGATGGAAAAGGAACCAAACAAGCCAGACATTCGCTCCAAAGTCACCTCAGATTTGGACCTTCTAAAAGACTACATCAAAACGAAGCAAATTGAATCAAGAAGATTAACTATGAACCAACAATGAAATGGTAGCTTGGTTATTTCTTAAAGAAACTATGAAAGGGATCTAACAAGTTTAACTTTTAGTGAAGTCAAGAATGACAAAGAATGGAGCAGATTAAACTCACTGGTTCTTTTCTTGAACACCCATATTTACGCCGAATCTGCACAAGGCATAATATGACAGGTATTAAAGTATGTATATGGCCAGTGAATGCAAATAAAGTGAAAAGCTCTAAATTATTACCTTCAAGGAGAAGTCTGTAATATCTAGCAACAGCAACTTCGATTCAAAGCAATGTGCTAAAGCTTTGGCAAGCGATTGCTGGTAAATTTCTACAAAAGTTGAGTATAACTAGTGTTAGTCGAACGAACTTGAATACTATTTTCTCATAGCTGGATAAGGTTAAACTTGTTCATAATATACCTGTAGGACCAGAGAGCAAAATAGCCCTGCTCGCTGGTGAGAGGTTTCGGGTGTGCTTGGAGAAGTCTTGACTTTTCAAATGAACATATGCAGCACTTGACATCAAAGCTCGAGTTCTTTCGCTGTTATTGCCATCATCACAAGGAAACATAAGATATGGTGCAGCCAGGACAAAAAAATTATAATAAGACAAACAGAAAAGATAACAAATTTTAGGATTTGCAAAGCAGCAAAAGTGAAGTAAATAACAATCAATCTAAAAGT